GGCAACAAAACGAAAATAAGGCTTCAAAACTGAAATTTTTAAAGACAAATTTATGTACCTTGGCTTAGTAATATGAAGAAACCAAAAAAAAAAAAAAAAAAAAGAATAAGTGACCAAAAATAAGTGATAAATAATGGGTGGGGAATATGTGAAAATGAAATCTTGAGATAACAGAGCCTCAAATAAAATTACCTACCTGCGATTTAATTTTATTCTTCTAAACCAATCCCTCAGTATCCTCCACCCCCACTATATTATCTAGCTTCAAAAACCTGCAAATAACATTAGATTTTTTACGTGAGAGTGTGATGATGCTTAGCAGATGTTCCAAGTTTTCATTTCTATACTCTAGAATGAGGACGATTCATATAAAATATTCATTTGTAAAAGGATTCTTAAGCATGAAAAGTTACAGTAACTGCTAGATGCCCTTCTACCAATTCCAATTTTAAAAAAAGGAAAGAAATAAAAGCCCAACAAACATAAAAGGGTTCACTCTATCTGAAAAACTGAGTCTGCCTGAGCAGTTTTAATAAAAAGTGTGAAGCTAACATTGATCATCGCCCATATACAGTGAGCATGCAGAATCAATAAAGAATGAAAATGCACAGTTCAAGATTTACCTACCCGAGGGTAATGTCAGGCTTGTTGATTCTGACTGTAACTTGTACTTACCCTACGTCAGCTTTCAGCTTTTTTATTATAACTCTTCTTGAGACACCATTGCTAGTAAAGAATTAGATCCCACCAGCAAATTTTGGTAAAATCATAATAATCATCTATCCCTTACAAAATGTCAATAACATAGCCATTAAAAAGAACCATTTTTAAAAAAAACTCAAGAACTACCTGAAAATATATGACCTATATGCAAAATTTCTTTCATTTTGTACATAATTATTCATACAAAGTAGGGTTTACATAAAGTTAAAAGATATATTTTCTTACTGCCCATCCTAAGATAAACTGGTCACCTTCCGAACAACTATTTTCCATCAAATTAACCAAAGATATCATAAATAACAAATAAAGAACAAAACTATTATAATTTTTAAAATTTAATAATGTACTCATATGTTCCTAAAGAAGAACGAACAAGAGAGACATACAAATAAATATGCACATATATATTTTTTAAGGCTATATATGGTAGAGTGAATGAAGCGATCTTAATTTTTGTATTTGAATATGTAGTTTGGGGATTTACTTAGACTTTGTGACTCTTCGTATTATGGAGTACCAGGTGGATCTAATTGCTTAGAGGATTATCCTTCTTTCTTAATTTACATGCCTTGTGTTCACTGCTACAGTCAATCAAAATGAAAAGCTTTCCGTACTGAGGAGAAAGAAATCCTCATAAGACAGTCTTATAAATTTGGAATACGATTTGCAAAATCACTAGAATATCATTTTTAGTGATTCTGGCAAGAGGTTCTTATATCTGAAATTATAAAACTATTTTATATGCATTATCATTTTTCATAACAAATTGAGTTGTTCATGTAACAGCAAGGACTCATTTGTAATTCTTTTAAAAATCTGATTTGGTTTTCACCAGACTGCTACCTTCAAACTTCCTAGTCTGTGAGAATATCTTCAACACCAATTGAAACTTTCACTTTGATAAAGAATAAACCTTTTGATGTGGTTATCAAAAGTCCATTTGATACTTATGTATGTATATATGTAAAAAAGTGAGGTTTGTCAACCATGCAAAATAGAATATTGAAGCATGTAGCATTTATTTCAATTAAATGTCTGATTTTAAGAAATTATCTTCTACAACATTATTAGCTTGCCTGGAATTCAAAGCAGACATACAGAAACTACATTAATTTATAAGCTTCAGTTTTTAAATGAGAGGAAATTTTAAGGGAGTAAACTCTTATTACTAATAGGTTAAGCAATACAATTCTAATACTTTCCATGTGAATGATGATGTTTTAATTAGGAGGGAGAATATAACTTTTATCATCAAAAATACCTGAAAGATTTTAAGTCCCTATTGAAAATAAAATGATGGAAGACTTGCTTCTATGAAAGGAAATTAACCTTTTAAAAAATATGTTTTATGTTTGCCGATAGGCCTAAATATGAGGTCCACAGAGCATCCTCTTGAGAAAAATTCAATGTATTTATATTATATGTATAGATCTATTGCATATATCACCATGTCAAAAAGCACAGATAAAATATCACCAAAAAAATCTAAGAAAACTCCATAAACTCTTCAATGCAAGGTAAATAGTTGTTTGTAGACTAATTGTAGATACTTATTAATAAAGAGCAAACAATGGTATTATAAGCGACCAATCTTTCCAAATACAACCTACTATGTAATACTTTATGCAAAACAATGTGCTCATGATACAATGAGCCCCCACTATGATAAACACAACTATGCTGAAAGGCAACAGTTCCAAACAAGAAATTGAACCTGGGAAACAAAATACAATTTAGGATTCCAAATGTGTTCGTGAATTTATTACTAAATTTGTCCAATTACAAACTTTCTGTGAATGCTCCATACTTCCACATGTACTACTTGCAGAATTATTAAGAAACTAGTCATAAGAACTGAGCTATGCTCTGAGTAGGAACAAGTGTGAAATAAAGACTTGCTAGCAAAGTTAAAACCTGTGTGCTTAAAAAAGATAAAATTTTGTCTTTTGCTGCCTCTTGAGTTTGCTCATCTCTCTGATTATTTTGCAATATTCTCATCCCGAATTTTGCTTTACAGCATTATATTCATTACATGAAGCCCAATCTAACTTCTTTTACCCACTTTTCATCACAGGGCTAACTTCCTCGAAATTATTTCAATTTAAGAAGTGGAAAAATGGAGTCTGTTCTGTTATTCGGACCAAGTTTGCAACCAACACTGTTCACGGTTGTACTCTAATCCCCAAAGGTAGATGCTCACTAGCATACAGCCTACTGACTATGAAGCATATTAGCAGGTCTGTTTGTTGGTAGTGGTAAAAGCCAACAATAACTACTAGTGAATAAAGGGCAGAAAGTAAGCAAAGAGAGACACCTACTTGACTGCATGGTTCTAGCTGATATTTCAGCTGTAGAAGCACCCAGGCCTTGAGGAGAACGTGCAGCCAGACGGAAATAGTACAAGCTGTTTGGTTTCAGCCCTTGCAGCCTATAAGATGTCCCTGGCTCAATGGTAATCCGTTGCTGTAACAAGAGAATTTGGTCATTTTCATCAAGATTCATGCAAATATTTTTCATCACAGCCTGGAACATCATATTTCTGTCATCAGGATTATAATGTCATTGAAATATCACACCCACAAGAAAATTAACAGTGAATATCAAAGGATATACTAGGGGAATTATATAATGAAAATATCAGTGTTTAAGGCAAAGTTTCCACAAACATAAGGTAACTGCAATAAGGAAAGCCAGAGATCTGTGTTGACATAGTTATCCAAATGCATCAGAGAAGAGGGAGACTGAGGGGCCGACACTCATGGGTATGTTCTACCCTAAAGATGTGTACACTGTCGAAACTAACACCATCCCCCAATAGTATAATATGCCCACTATGTGCAATTTTAATTGAAAGATGTCTAGCTCACTTCCTGTGACCATCTATAATCTAAATAGGTGGCAAAGAAAATATACCAGAAGTAGCAACAGTAACTAGTATACAGTTTACAAGAGGTTGCTATAAAAGAGATCTGAAATTACCAAGATCTGATAGGATGAAAATCAGATGCTAGTCACTAAAGAAACGTGGATAATTCCTATGAAATCATATTATTACTCTAGGTTGATGTAAAATAACTTAAAAACTTCCTTTCTTTTTGAATATAAAATCCACAGCTGGAAAAAGAAATTCATGAACTTTTCTGTAACTTTGAATATTATAAAGGACTTCTGAAATATGACTTTTTTAATAGAATGCTATAACTCTTAGTTTCCATGCTTGAAATATGCCTTTGCATTTTTGCACAAATGTAGCTGTCTATGGACAATTAATCTCAGGTAGAACATTAGCCTGTAGTAGACCTTCAAATACAAGCACATACGTACACTATTAATGGCATAAATAATCTTAAGGCTTTTTATCAAACAGTGTTTGCTATTCACACTAACAAATCAGTAAAGAGGAATTTAAACATAAAATTAAAGAAAACATCTGTAGGGTGTTCTGGCTTGCAAATACAAAAGCTTTCAGAAATTGTAGGTTCATCAAATAAGAAATAGATTCCCTAAACAAACAGTGGTAAAGCACAGTAGTTGTGCCAATGATACAAGAATCCATAGTATTCTTAAAGGACTGCCCTTCTCCTTTACTCTTTGTGTTTATTTATATATTTATTTTAGCTTGGTGGTGGTAAAGACTGTAAAAAGTTCCTGTCTGTATATGTATTCATTATATTACCATGTTTCTCTTTTCAGTAACTCAATTTCCACGCTTTCTACGGTCGATCTACTGCTATTTCATTTGTACAGCATACTCAAACTTTATATATACTTACAATCATTATCAAGTAATTTTTAGCATACGAATAAACATTTGTTATGGGGCTTACTTCTCTGAAACCAGTCTGGACAAATTCATCTAGCCGAGGACTTTTATTAGTATGTAAAGAGCTCATTTTGTCATGTGTCTTCACAGTGACTTAAGTACTTTAATGCATTAGAGAAATAAAGTCCTCAAGTCTCATGTTGTATCTATTCTTCTACAACCTCATACTTCTTTAATAAGAAACTTGGAAACCTGAACTTTCAATAGGAGCAGTAATTGTTTTGTTCTGTTTTTCCCCAAAGGCTCCGAATAACTATTCTGGTTTTTCAGTCAAGTTCCTCTTTTGATCAATAAGTCTCTTCCACCAAGGTCCTCTATAGATATATGACCAGGAACTTGGGTAATGCACAGGAGTAAAGTAGTGGCCAATGTCTTACCTCCTCTCCATGCTCTCCATCTTTGTAGACCAATTCATAGCTGGCTATGGTGTCTGAACGTGGAGGTGTCCAAGAGAGCAAAATACTTGTTTCAGACTCAGGTTCTGCTTTGAAATTTAGTGGCTGCCCTGGTACTAAAAACAAGGAGGCAAAGGATTGAATTCACCATCACCATGAGTATTCACAAGTTCTTCCATTAGTGCATCCATTTAAACCTTTCAAAATGTGTCCAAGTGTATATCAGCTTAATGGAGAACTGAGTTCCTTACAGTGTCCAAATTAACCTCTTTGTATACAGCCCATTTTTCCTCCTCCAAGGGGCAAGAACGATGCTATACTGTCCTTGAGTATTTAATATCTATATGAGATATAGTGGAATTAACAAGTACAGAATATATCAGTCTCTGATTTCAATTTTAAGATATAATTATTTACTTCATATTACTGTTAGTAAGAAATAAGATGGTTTACATAATGCACTTGTAATATTATATAAAACATAACAAATGCTAAATACATTAAAGCTACTGTTATTTACAACTGAATGGGACTTATTCTCTAGCACTACATGTAACACTCAAAATTATTTTCAATTAGGTTTATGAAATCCCATGTTTACTCCATTAACAAAACCTACAGGCAACCAGAATCACCTAGCGTTTTTTCTTACCAATGTACATTTGGAAAAAGAGGTTAAAAAAAGGGAAAAAACTAAACGTATCACTTACAAATAATTACTTCTAATCCCTAAATTAGTTATAGACCTAACACAAACATAATATCGTCCCTACTGACACAGAGCTAAACTACTACAGGAATTATAAAGTTTACAGAATACTATTATTATTGGAAATATGATAACTCATCACAGGTCATCTATAAACTTTAAGTTAGTCATGAAATCTATGGAGCAATTTGGAAAACCTATCAATCAGATGTAATAAAGAATGTGAACTCTATACAGTTTAAAACACCATGCTCAAATGTTGTACTAGAATAAGTTTTATTAACCCAAACTTCCTATTCAACACCTAACCTCATTAGTTGTCCTATATCCATTATATACAAGGCTGACATTTGTCAGGGTGTCACTGGAACTCTGATCTTATATTGTTCTTAGCCAATATCTGCTCTGATTGATGTCCATGCCTTGCCACCTGTTAAATATTTTGATCACCCTTGATATTATGCCATGTTTCAACATATTCTCACAAGTTCAAATTCGGTGCACATTTAGTAAAAGGGGTAAATAATACTTTATGCCAGAGGGGAAAAGAACATCTAAAGCTTGTTTCTGGCAATTTGAAAACAAACATTGTAAAATATACATAAAATTGTATAATTTATAGGTGATATATGACATAATTTTTAAAAATAATGCTTGAAGTATCATTTTTACAGGAAAAGAGGCCTTGGAGATATAAATGTATTGTTTTCTTTTTCTTACAGTCATCTCTCTGCGGTATGACTTTAAAAAATGTCCTTTGTTTAAAGAGAGATTAAATGTCTAAAGACTTCTACAAGTATAATTTCTAGAGTCCGTAACAATAATTTTATTCCTCCGCTTGGCTCGTCAACCTGTATGTGCGTGCGTGTGTGTGTGTGTGTGTGTGTGCATGCGTGCGCGCATGCATGCTCACGCATGGGCACTCATGTTTGGACTGATGTTTAAGGCCACAAATAATCAGTGCTTCATATTTCTAGTTGCCTTCATCACCTTTTCTCTCTTTTTTTTTTAAATCACAGGCCTTTAAATTCTCATTAATTGCATGCCTCTAGGAACTTACTTTCTGAACAGGGTATCAATTTTTTTTCCCAGTACCTGCCCAGTGGATGACCTAACACAATCATTCAGATTGAGAGATTGAGAGGCAGAGACAAAAGATAAAAGATCAAGGAGCAAAAATAAATAAATAATAAAAACATAAAAACAAAAGACAAAAGAACAGAGGGGAATAAAAACAAATAGACAAATCACAAAGCAAATGGAAAATGTATTATTTCTAAAAGGAAAACAACAAAAACACTGGCAGGATCAACAGTGGAAGCCAAGATGGGGAGCCAGATGGATGGGGAAATGATGATTNAACAAGTACAGAATATATCAGTCTCTGATTTCAATTTTAAGATATAATTATTTACTTCATAATACTGTTAGTAAGAAATAAGATGGTTTACATAATGCACTTGTAATATTATATAAATCATAACAAATGCTAAATACATTAAAGCTACTGTTATTTACAACTGAATGGGAACTTATTCTCTAGTACTACATGTAACATTCAAAATTATTTCCAATTAGGTTTATGAAATTCCACGTTTACTCCATTAACAAAACCTACAGGCAACCAGAATCACATATCATTTTTTCTTACCAATGTACATTTTGAAAAAGAGGTTTAAAAAAGGGAAAAACTAAACATATCACTTACAAATAATTACTTCTAATCCCTAAAATAGTTATTGCACTAGACCTAACACAAACATAATATCGCCCCCACTGACACAGAGCTAAACTACAACACAAATTATAAAGCTTACAGAATACTCTTATTATTGGAAATATGATAACTTGTCAGAGGTCATCTATAAACTTTAAGTTAGTCACGAAATCTATGGAGCAGACAATTTGGAAAACCTATCAATCAGATGTAATAAAGAATATGAACTCCATATAGTTTAAAACACCATGCTCAAATGTTGCACTAGAATAAGTTTTATTGACCCAAACTTCCTATTCAACACCTAACCCCATTAGTTGTCGTATATCCATTATACACAAGGCTGACGTTTGTCAGGGTGTCACTGGAACTCTGATCTTATATTGTTCTTAGACAATATCTGCTCTGACTGATTGGTGCCCATGCCTTGCCACTTGTTAAATATTTTGATCACCCTTGATATTATGCCATGTTTCAATATGCCATGGCTGAACATATGTCCACATTCTCACAAATTCAAATTCTGTGCATATTTAATAAAAGGAGTAAATAATACTTTACACCAGAGGGGAAAAGAACATCTAAAGCTTGTTTCTGGCAATTTGAACACAAACATTGTAAAATATATATAAAATTGTATAATTTACAGCTGATATATGACAATTTTTAAAAATAATGCTTGAAGTATCATTTTTACAGGAAAAGAGGCCTTGGAGATATACATGTATTGTTTTCTTTTTCTTATAGTCATCTCTCTGTGGTATGACTTTTAAAAATGTCCTTTGTTTAAAGAGAGATTAAATGTCTAAATACTTATACAAGAATAATTTCTAGAGTCCGTAACAATAATTTTATTCCTCCGCTTGGCTTGTCAACCTGTATGTGCGTACGTGTGTGTGTGTGTGTGTGTGTGTGTGTGCGCACGTGCATGCTCATGCATGGGCACTCATATTTGGACTGACGTTTAAGGCTTCATATTTCTAGTTGCCTTCATCACCTTTTCTCTCTCCTTTTTTTTTTTAAATCACAGGCCTTTAAATTCTCATTAATTTCATGCCTCTAGGAACTTACTTTCTGAACAGGGTATCAATTTTTTTTTGTGGATGACCTAACACAATCATTCAGATTGAGAGATTGAGAGGCAGAGACAAAAGATAAAAGATCAAGGAGCAAAAATAAATAAATAAATAAATAAATAATAAAAACATAAAAACAAAAGACAAAAGACAAAAGAACAGAGGGGAATAAAAACAAATAGACAAATCACAAAGCAAATGGAA